AAAAAAAAAAAAAAACCAAACCCACTTGCCAAATGGTGTGGGCAGCTCTCAATTAGACGCCTTAGTTTCCCACCTCGCTGCCGCTGCTCCCTCCTGGCAGGCGGAGGGTTGTGTTTTTCCCCACCCAGCCCCTCAGAGATATCATATTCCAGACAGGAGGGGTACGTTTTATACCCGCCCAGCTCCTCAGAAATCACAGAATCATAAAATGGTTTGGGTTGGAAGGAACCTCCACAGCTCATCCAGCCCAACCCCTAATGTTGTATTCTGAACAGGAGGGATGGGTTTTCCCCACCCAGCCCCTCAGAGCTGTCATATTCAGAATGGGAGGGCTGCGATTCCCACACCCAGCCCCTCAGAGATCATGGAATCACAGAGCAGTTGGGTAGGAAGGGATCTCTAAACATCACCTACTTCAAACCCTAATGGGAGGGATGCATTTCCCACACCCAGCCCCTCAGAGATGTCATATTCCAAATGGGAGGGATGCATTTCCCACACCCAGCCCCTCAGAGATGTCATATTCCAAATGGGAGGGATGCATTTCCCACACCCAGCCCCTCAGAGATGTCGTATTCCGAGCAGAAACCAGGTCTCGAATCCGGTCATGCAGTATAATTATTGTACTATGGCAAATCGGCAAATTAAATTTTGTCCACATGCTAATTGGAAACAAATATTCTAGAAATTAAATTAGGTCTCAGCATACAGGCGGCTGTCGCTAGTACCTCTTACCTCGGCAGAAGTTAAAAGTTGATTTGCTGTGGCTAATTTTTTGGCATCGACAGCCACGGCGATGTTCACAGGATTTAAATCACCCTTTAGAACATCACGTAGTATTATATAATTACCCAAACTCCCTCAATCTGAGGTTCAAACTGGACCTTTTAACAACCAAAAGTCTGTTTAATCACTACAAATCAGGCTATACAGACCATTAAGCTGCAGGTTTTTATAGAGAACCAGCTTATTTACCTCTGCATTTTCCACAGACTTACAAGCAGGTTCAGTTTCCAAAGGGATCTGTTAATCCAAAATATGAAATTAAGCTGGCCTTATAACAAAATCTAATTGATGAATACAAATAGTGTAAGACATTTCAACTTGATATAGGTAAGCAGTTTCTGGCTGTTAATACACATCAGAACTGCAGTACCTTTTTTTAAAGACAAATTATTTCTCCCATTACCACATTAAAAGTATCTATTGCCTACATACAAACAACTTGTTTAGAAGAAGTGAAAAATTCTGCTCATCATTGCCTCAGTATGACACAGGAAACTCTTGATTTCAGGCAACACTAATTTTTAAACATCCCTAAGTATTTACGTACAAAGACAGGACAGGGAAAAGCGCTATCACCAAACCATCTTGTAATAAAGGATCAGCACTTTACGAAAACCAGCATTTATTTTTTACATATGGCAACTTAATAAATGGAAAATTTACATGTCTC